GTGTTTCAAGTAAGTTTGATGTAAGAGTTTCAAGAGGCAAGCTCTTGGTTTAGGAGGATTTTCCTCTGTGTTGTTCCACCAGGGGTCCTGAAGGATCATGGTTGCAATATCTGTGCGTTTATCTATTGCATTATGTTAGATACTTAGTATAGTTGCATTCATATAGGTGATGACATGTGATTGGATATCTAAGATAACATGATAAAATTAATAGGCTTATAAAATATATGCTATGCTATATGTATTTGACCTTACATGCAGGAAATGAACTCACAGGGGAGACTACTCCATAAACCCTAAGTTTATTGAGATTTATTCTCACCCGATGTTATTGGGATATATTTCAGGTACTTCAGCTGCAGGAGAGCCTTCACAGAGTAGGAGGTGACGTCAGGATAGAGATCCCAGATATACTGGAGAGATGACTGGATATTTCGGGATGATGAATGTACTTATTGTTTTGGCATAATGTATGATCATGCACTTATATAGATGTTATTGTTTTGAGGCATGTGTAACCTTAGGTTAAGATGTTATGCAGTATATGTATATAGATGGTAATGTTATTGGTACAAAGCCATTTTTAGTTCACTGAGTAGGATAGTTTGATATATTTATAGACTTCTCTATATTTCAGGGATTATATAAGATTAAGGATTTGATCCCGGTAGGTCCAGTTTACAGCTATTATGTTGTCCGTTGGACCCTGTTCGGAATGGTACAAGATATCATAACTAAATAGTATTTTGACTATTAATTACAGTTACCGATAGAATAAATAAGATGTCTGCACAGGTATAGATTGTACAAATTATAATAATTTAAAAAGGAATTACATGATTCAATAATTAAGGATAAATTAAAAGAAAAGTTAAGTCACTTAGTTACGCGGTTAACAGTGATATTTTTATAGGTTAAATTTTTCGCTTAAATATTTAATTATGTAGCATTTTTGTACCATATATATGTTAACTAACCGGTGGCGAACAGAGTGTTACAATTACATTATGAATTCTATATTGAGCTTTAACAAGTTACTTATATATAAATGTCTCTTTATTCTGTCATATCTCATCCTTAACTTTATGATCAAGATACTTGTTGTACATGGATAGACAGATTTTCTTGCTATTATTTGCTTCAAAAGTAGCTTTAATGAGTTTGTAACAAGAGAGCTAATTAATGATCTTTTGGTTGTAGGACTTGATCAAAACGATGCATCTTCATATGAGGTAAGAGCAGAGTTTCTAGGAACATGGTGCAGTTCCTTGTTTATTTTTTTTTATTTTTTTCTGAAGATGGATCTTCAGTCCTTAATTTCCACTAACCAGATGGTTCGTTCAGATTCCAATCACAACCTGGAGTTTGCAAGGGATGCTAAACTCATTGAAGAACAATTATGGCAATTTTCCTAATTACATACAAGAAAATGGTATGGCAATTTTTTGATATTCCAATTTATGACATGATCTTTGTACCTCCCTGAGATCATCAATTCAAAAGCTTCCCATGTCTTTTATTAACAAATTCTGTTGGAAATCGACAATCACACAAAATCGAGAAAACATAAAAAGAGATAAGTAGAGAGATTGACACGATGATTTACCTTGGTTCACCCAATTAAGTCTACGTCCAGCTTGTCTGTACTATATTCTCCTCACCACCACTCGTTACAAGTCACTCGATTTACAAGGAAAATATAAATAGGATTAGAAAATCCTAACAGCAGTTATTCATGGGCCCAAGCCCAAACTGCTAAGAAAATTACAATAAAATAGAGGCCCACAATAGTACCTAGCCTCTACGGGCTTGAGGGCGCTGCCCCCCGACCCCCGCCCGCTCACCTGGGAGCGGAACCCCAGTTTCCTTTCTGCTGACCCCGATAATTAGGGCCCTCATCAGCATGCGAAGTATGAATCATACACAACAAATTCAAGGTTCCAATTATAAAGTAGTATGGTAAGATTTTTTGAGCTTTGCAGGGCAACAAACGCTTCGTAATTCATCATTGGATGACTGGTCAAGGGTGGAGTACTTGCATGAATACATAGAGAGAGCATGGTTGGTGCACTGAGGTACCTCTACTTTGGTTTTCATTTTCAAATGGGAACGTTACAAAGAGTGTATGATGTCTTAACATGACACACTTTATTTGTCAATTGGATGATCATGAATGCTAACTATTTTTTTTTTCTCTTTTTTCCTTCCTCATCTTTTCCTTTACTCTTGACACATTGAAAGGAGTGGATTGAATGTAAAAGGCTATTTTGTATGGTCCTTCTTGGATGCATTCGAGTTACTAAGTGGATATGAATTAAGTTATGGCCTATATTACATAGATATAAAGGATCCAGAGTTTAGGAGACGGTCTAAGCTCTCTGTTAAATGGTACTCAAATTTTCTGAACAGGAAGCCAATGGACCCAAAGTACACCACGAAAATTGAGAAGAATGCATGTGTGCTTTCACACATTCCCTAATTGCACAGTACCACTTAAAGTAACCAGGACAAGTTAAAATTCATGTCAAGGAATAAAATGTATGTTTATAATTTGCTACTCTATGGTACTATGTAAAGGAATAAAATGACATGTCTTATGGTGTCATTATACGAAACATATAACTAGATTATTATCTGCATGACATTGAGATATCTGTCATACCATATTATGATGATTGTAGCATTTGTCTTGCGAGTGTTCATATTCCTTCAAGCTAAATATGTCTAACAAAATGAAGTTACACAGTATTCAAGCTGATATGTATTCAATGCTGTTGGGTGTGCACCACGGTTGATCTTCTTCAGCTATTACCTAATAGGGTATCAAAGTCAACCATCACTAATGCTACATTACATTAAGCATTTTTAATCTTGAAACAAGTTAATCTCAAATGCTTGTACTACAAATTCGTGCCCTTGTATATAATGAAAGCAGCATCAAATTCTATGACTTCTCTAGTCACAGCACTAAAACCAAAATCAATTGTAAAGTTAAGTTTATATATATGAACTGACAATGCTTGATAACTTAAATCACCCTTCACCACTCTTTATTTTCATGCTTTTTGATCGATACAATACAAAATCAGAAATATTTCACCCATTGACAAATTATTTAACAATTTAATGCAAGTGAAATGCATATGAAATATGTGTTCAAGTCGCGTATCACCTCATACGTGTGAAGTCAACGCGCAATTGCCATGTGTCGTGTGCTGTGTTTTGCAAGACGTGCATGATAAACCTTTAGTTTATCTTGTTTTATGGACTAAAATAATATGAATTATCTAGTTGAACAAGTCAAAAATTAGGGTTTTAAAATGATAATCATGAACATTATCTAATTGTTGGAACTAAATAATATATTTGCTATTTTTGAAGGGATTTGATAACAAATGGATTCAAATATGAAGATTTGGATAAAGGGATATCAAATCAGAAAAGATATGGATAGATGGAAAGCAAAACAAAAAGATTTGAAGATCTTATCAAGATTCCCAAGTTGTTAGAAGAGGGAGCTTAAGCCTTCATTCAGAAGCTTAAACTCCCTAAAAACGCAAATAGCTACTGCCTCTGGGCGCTTAAGCCCCCAACTCAGAGCTTAAGCGCGCCACGAGAAGAAAGTTTTGCCGCGAGGATCGCGCTTAAGCGCCCTCCATCGAGCTTAAGCGCGCAACGCGAGTCAGAAATCACCATCCTAGGGCGCTTAAGCGCGCTACAACAAGCTTAAGCGCCCAGTCAGATCCAATTTAGGCCCATTCAATGTGTTTTATTGGGATACGAACTCTTGGCCAATAAAAAGACCATTGGGGACCAGAAATACATAACTTTTACATTGCTAAACAACTCTTGGGTGCTTGGAGGCAGAAGGAACGCAGAGAAACATCAGATTCATGTTCGTGAGCGGCGGAGACGGATCAACGTCAAGTGTTCACTGGAGATATTGAAGATCCACCAATCACCTATGGAGTTTGGGGGAAATTTTATAGTTTCTTTTGTTCTTGACTTTGCTATGTCTGGCTAGTTCTTTAATTAGTTAGGGTTAGATGGATTTTAGTCGATTTATTATGTTTTAAACAATTCGCTGTGTTAATTTTCCTTTATATCATGAATGAAGTTATCTGTTTTTAATGCTTTATATAGGCTTGAAACTTATATAATGATCATCGGTGAATGCATGACAATAGGAATGTTGGTGTGTGATCCATATCTGATAACTTCATCGTAAATGTTATGATTCTAGGGATAGACATAGGGTTTGCGTAATCTTTAAGATTCTTGAACTTAATGCTTGCATGCTTGGGGAATAAACGGGGAACTAGGGTTCTTCCAATATTGTAAAGGTTTTAGAGTAACAAGGGATTGAGCTCTAATAACATGCGAAAGAATTGATTAGATTGATACTAAGGACAATTAACATTAAGAAGGAATTCAAACGTAATAATGGGATTAAATGAAATCGAACCCCTAGCTACGTTCTTTTACATTCGTAAATCACATCTTTAATTTCTTGTCTTTAATTCTTGCAAGTAATTAGCTTTAATATTTAATATTTTAATTTTGTAATTCAAATCCTGTTTCCAAATACACTTTTGATTGTCCAACTTAAGTTGCGATAGTGAATTGGTGCTTGAACCGTAATCCTCGTGGGAACGATCTCTTACTTAATCATTATATTACTTGTACGATCGGTGCACTTGCTGTGAGTAGCAACAAGTTTTTGGCGCCATTGCCGGGGATTACTATTTCAACATTAATAGTAGCTATTAATTCTTTAGATTGGACCTTATTTTTCTGCTATTTTTTTTTTATATTTAAATCCAGTCTTTATTTTTATTTTATAATCTATTTTCTGGTTTATGCGAGGTATCATTGACACCAATTCCTTGCTATTCGACCCAGAGATAGAGAAAACAGCAAAAAGAAACATAAAACTTGCTAAAGAAAGAAGACAACAAGAGAAAGAAGCTTCAAGCTCAACAGAACCAAGAGAAGAAGCAATGACAGAAGAAAATAGAGTTCCACCACCTCCACCTCCAAGAACATTGGGAGATTACATGACTCCTGCTAGAGTTCCACAGACAGCTAGCATTGTTAGACCACAAGTGGATGCTAACAACTTTGAACTCAGGCCTGCATTATTACAACTGATTCAAAAGGACCAGTTTGCCGGAGGAAGCACGGAAGACCCTTACATCTATTTAGAAAACTTCTTACTATACTGTGATACCTTGAAGATGAATGGGGTGTCTTGGGATGCTATTTTGCTCAGATTGTTCCCTTGTTCACTTAAAGACGAAGCAAGAGGTTTTTTGCAATCGTTACCTCAAGGAAGCATCACCCATTGGGATGATTTGGCAACCAAATTTTTAGAAAAAATTTTCTCATCTTCGAAAATGGCAAAGCTCAAGGCGGATATCACTTCTTTTGAACAAAAAGGAAGTGAATCTCTATATGAAGCATGGGAAAGATTCAAAGGACTACTCAGGAAGTGTCCCCAACATGGCATTGAAGCATGGGAACAAGCGAGAACTTTCTTCCAAGGGATGACGCCCAACACAAGAACATTGGTGAATGCTGCATCAGGAGGGTCGTTAAAAACAAAAACTCCAGAGGAAGCTTTAGAATTGCTAGAATCTCTAGCCTCTCAAGAGTACGATAATGCTCCGGTACCACAGAGAAGAGCGGGGATAATGAAGCTTGATGGCTGTGATGCCATCTTGGCTCAGAATGAGCAGATTTTACAATCCAATAAGAAACAGCAACAACAGCTAGATGCTCTCGAAGAACAATTTTCTGAATTTCAAGTTTCTTCTGTTAATACTCCTGCTATCATTTGTGATATTTGTGCATATACTCATGCTACTGAAGACTGCCAGGCACCCGAAACTGCAGATGTTATTGGAATTTGGCATGATCAAAAAGCTCCATATAATCCAAGGAGGAACCAATACGACAATAATCAAAATCAAGGGTGGAGAAATAAAAATCAAAATCAACACCCGGGATTTAGTTACAGTTCGAACCATCAGCTGAATCCTCCTATGCCAGTGCAACAGCAACCTCCACAACAATCAGAATGGGAAAAGGCCTTTGCACAACTATCCAAGACCACATCAGACTACATTCAAAGTTCCAATAATTTCAGAGAGGACACTTCAGCCTTTATGCAAGAGACAAGGGCCTCATTCCGGAATCAAGAAGCTTCTATCCGGAATCTTGAAACTCAGATTGGCCAGCTATCAAAGCAGTTCACTGACAGAGTTCAAGGAACTTTTCCAGGTAACACTATTCCAAATCCAAGTAGGGAACACTGCAATGCGATTACTACTATGAGTGAGAAAGCCATTGAACCTATGGTAAAGCCTTCAGTTGAGAAAAAGAAAGATGATGAACTTGCAACTGAAAAGGAAAAAGAAAAGGAAGTTTCCAAAGAATTTGCTGCAGAGAAAATTGTTCCTGAAAAGAAAGAGTTCAAATGGGAGAAAAAGAAAGCTCAAGAAAGGCAAGAAAAGCCATTAGAGCTCTCACCTTATGCAAAGATTCCATATCCGCAGACGCTCAGAGAGGAAATCAAAAAGCAGCAGTATTCCAAGTTCCTTGACATTTTCAAGAAGCTGCAAATCAATATCCCGTTTACTGAAGCCTTGGAGAACATGCCCAATTACGCAAAGTTCATGAAAGATCTTCTATCACGAAAGCGTAAGCTACAAGAATGTGAGACGGTGACTCTGACAGAGGAATGCAGTGCCATTATCCAGAAAAAGTTGCCTCCAAAGCTTAAAGATCCAGGAAGATTCAGCATTCCATGCAACATAGGCAATATGGAAGTGAAAAATGTTCTATGTGATCTCGGTGCCAGCATCAACGTGATGCCACTACTTATGATAAAGAAACTGGGGATCACTGAAGTAAGGCCAACCAAGACAATAGTTCAACTGGTTGACCGCTCTACAAAGCAAGCTTATGGTATTATTGAGGACATACTGGTAAAGGTTGACAAATTCATCATTTCTGTTGACTTTTTCATCCTTGATATAGAGGAAAATTCTACTATTCCAATGATCTTCGGAAGACCTTTCTTGGAAACCTCAGGAGTGCTGATTGATGTACCGAAAGGCGAGTTGATCTTACGGGTAGATGGGGAGCAAGCAATTTTCAAGTTCTTTGATAAAGAAGTTCCCTCACCTATAATTCAACCGGAAGATCAAGTCTGCTATATTAGTGAAAAGAAAAGAGAAGAAGAGCACAAAGAGAATTCTTCTCAAGAAAGTAAGCCAAAGGTTAAAATGGAGAAGCTCAGGAGCAACGGAAAGCACGTAAACACAAAATTCAAAGCTATTGAGCCTACTGCATCTCACACATATGCACAAGAGTACTATGGGAGGACACCATTTCTGAATGATGGAGCTTGGTCATCACCAAGCCCATGCTTTGAGCCACCATGAACGTAAAAGAGGTACGTCAGGCTCGTGACGTAAAACAAGCGCTTGTGGGAGGCAACCCAACTATATTTTATATTTTCCAACATTTTAGTATTTTAATTTTAGTTTAGCTTATTTTAATTATTCTTAGCATAGTTTATTTTAGTCATATCATAAAAATCAAAAAAATAAAAACATTGAGGTTAATGATCAAATTCTGTTGAGATGGACTTTCAGGTGTAAGTGAGATTAAAGCATACACAGGTACGCAACTCTTATTCATTTATATGTTTTGTGTATGATATTGAGTAGAATTATTGAGGTGGAAGAATACACAGTAGAGATGAATGCAAGGAATAGGAAAATATGGAGAAAATTTTCTAAGTATTGAGAGCTTAAGCCCTTAAAGGAGGCTTAAGCCCCCAAAAGTGAAATTTCTCTCGGCCCTAGCGCGCTTAAGCGCTCCGAATCGCGCTTAAGCGCGATAAACAATAAAATTTTTATCCCATTTCTCACTGCCTCAGCGCGCTTAAGCGTGAATCACTGCGCTTAAGCGCACTCATCTTTGACATTATGCATACTGTTAAAGTATTGCAGTTCCATATACTCATTATTATTTTCAGATGCATCTGAATATAAATCTGGGAATTGTTATGTGGAAATTGCACTAACTTTGCAAACATACTGGATACTCGAATACTAATGCTGATATGGTTGCAGACACTACACAGGATGCTGATAGAAATGATATTGTACCCACTACTGAAATTGATAAGGATTGACCATTGTCTCAATGTTTAGATTTTTTTTCTTTTGTTGATTTTAGTTCATGTTGATATGAGATGTATATTGAAACTGATCTTGACATGACTATGATTTTTTTTGGATATGACATGCTGACGTAGTTTCTTTATCTGTGACATGTGTGTAGAGTACAGTATCAAATTTTTCTGATTTCTTGCTTAGGATTCTTTTAGATTTAAATTTATTGCTGAGGACAACAAGATTTAAATCTGGGAATGGGTACCACGCAATTTATCAGACCATAAACTTCACATGGCCGGAAGGAGAAACTCATGATTACACGGAGTACACAGAAATATCCAAATTACAAATGCAGTTTTTCAGGGGAGTTTCTCAATATTATTTTCATATTATAGTTCATTATTTTTATATTATTTAGTATTAGTTTATTTTAGAAATTATGTTGATTAAGTATTAGTTTATTTTAAAGTTTTTATATATACTAGCTTACTTTAAATTTAGTTTTTAATACCCCATCCATCCTTAATCACTAAATATTTCGCGAAAATTCAAATAATGAATTTTTAAATTTTTCCATTGAGCTTGATGTGTATGCACAGTGAGTGATTACATGAAATTGTTTGATATCTGAGATTAAGAGTATGACGTATAAATTTATTTTTTCATATATAAATGAGCGTCAGTCAAGCATGCTTCATAGTTCACTAGAATAAGAGAAGAATAACTAAAGTGATCAAATAGAGAGTGGAAACATGAATCTCACACCCTTAGCCGTAAGCTTTTGAGCCTAAACAGAATTTTTTTTTTTTGGTGTGAACTTTACTGTTGAATCACTCTAGAACTTGTTTTGTTTCTCTTTGAAATGGTCTGTGATATGCAATTGTTGAAATGATAGATG